AGGAGAGAGAGAGATTCTGGGAAATGTTGAGTGAATGCGTGGGGAGTTTTGAATCAAGTGTGAGAGTAATGGTGGTTGGGGATTTCAATGCTAAAGTGGGTAAAAATGTTATGGAGGGAGTAGTAGGTAAATTTGGGGTGCCAGGGGTAAATGTAAATGGGGAGCCTTTAATTGAGCTATGTGTAGAAAGAAATTTGGTAATAAGTAATACATATTTTATGAAAAAGAGGATAAATAAATATACAAGGTATGATGTAGCACGTAATGAAAGTAGTTTGTTAGATTATGTATTGGTGGATAAAAGGTTGATGGGTAGGCTCCAGGATGTACATGTTTATAGAGGGGCAACTGATATATCGGATCATTATTTAGTTGTAGCTACAGTTAGAGTAAGAGGTAGATGGGAAAAGAGGAAGGTGGCAACAAGTAAGAGGGAGGTGAAAGTGTATAAACTAAAGGAGGAGGAAGTTCGGGCGAGATATAAGCGACTGTTTGCAGAAAGGTGGGCTAGTGCAAAGATGAGTAGTGGGGGGTTGAAGAGGGTTGGAATAGTTTTAAAAATGCAGTATTAGAATGTGGGGCAGAAGTTTGTGGTTATAGGAGGGTGGGGGCAGGAGGAAAGAGGAGTGATTGGTGGAATGATGAAGTAAAGGGTGTGATAAAAGAGAAAAAGGCAGCTTATGAGAGGTTTTACAAAGCAGAAGTGTTATAAGAAAAGCAGAGTATATGGAGAGTAAAAGAAAGGTGAAGAGAGTGGTGAGAGAGTGCAAAAGGAGAGCAGATGAAAGAGTGGGAGAGGCACTGTCAAGAAATTTTAATGAAAATAAGAAAAAATTTTGGAGTGAGTTAAACAAGTTAAGAAAGCCTAGGGAAAGTATGGATTTGTCAGTTAAAAACAGAGTAGGGGAGTTAGTAGATGGGGAGAGGGAGGTATTAGGTAGATGGCGAGAATATTTTGAGGAACTTTTAAATGTTGAGGAAGAAAGGGAGGCGGTAATTTCATGCACTGGCCAGGGAGGTATACCATCTTTTAGGAGTGAAGAAGAGCAGAATGTAAGTGTGGTGGAGGCACGTGAGGCATTACGTAGAATGAAAGGGGCTAAAGCAGCTGGAACTGATGGGATCATGACAGAAATGTTAAAAGCAGGGGGGGGATATAGTGTTGGAGTGGTTGGTACTTTTGTTTAATAAACATATGAAAGAGGGGAAGGTACCTAGGGATTGGTGGAGAGCATGTATAGTCCCTTTATATAAAGGGAAAGGGGACAAAAGAGATTGTAAAAATTAAAGAGGAATAAGTTTACTGAGTATACCAGGAAAAGTATACGGTAGGGTTATAATTGAAAGAATTAGAGGTAAGACAGAATGTAGGATTTCGGATGAGCAGGGAGGCTTCAGAGTGGGTAGGGGATGTGTAGATCAAGTGTTTACATTGAAGCATATATGTGAACAGTATTTAGATAAAGGTAGGGAAGTTTTTATTGCATTTATGGATTTAGAAAAGGCATATGATAGAGTGGATAGAGGAGCAATGTGGCAGATGTTGCAAGTATATGGAATTGGTGGTAAGTTACTAAATGCTGTAAAGAGCTTTTATGAGGATAGTGAGTCTGAGGTTAGGGTATGTAGAAGAGAGGGAGAATACTTCCCGGTAAAAGTAGGTCTTAGACAGGGATGTGTAATGTCACCATGGCTGTTTAATATATTTATAGATGGGGTTGTAAAAGAAGTAAATGCTAGGGTGTTCGGGAGAGGGGTGGGATTAAATTATGGGGAATTCAAAATGGGAACTGACACAGTTACTTTTTGCTGATGATACTGTGCTTATGGGAGATTCTAAAGAAAAATTGCAAAGGTTAGTGGATGAGTTTGAGAATGTGTGTAAAGGTAGAAAGTTGAAAGTGAACATAGAAAAGAGTAAGGTGATAAGGGTATCAAATGATTTAGATAAAGAAAAATTGGATATCAAATTGGGGAGGAGGAGTATGTAAGAAGTGAATGTTTTCAGATACTTGGAAGTTGACGTGTCGGCGGATGGGTTTATGAAGGATGAGGTTAATCATAGAATTGATGAGGGAAAAAAGGTGAGTGGTGCATTGAGGTATATGTGGAGTCAAAAAACATTATCTATGGAGGCAAAGAAGGGAATGTATGAAAGTATAGTAGTACCAACACTCTTATATGGATGTGAAGCTTGGGTGGTAAATGCAGCAGCGAGGAGACGGTTGGAGGCAGTGGAGATGTCCTGTCTAAGGGCAATGTGTGGTGTAAATATTATGCAGAAAATTCGGAGTGTGGAAATTAGGAGAAGGTGTGGAGTTAATAAAAGCATTAGTCAGAAGGCAGAAGAGGGGTTGTTGAGGTGCTTTGGTCATTTAGAGAGAATGGATCAAAGTAGAATGACATGGAAAGCATATAAATCTATAGGGGAAGGAAGGAGGGGTAGGGGTCGTCCTCAAAAGGGTTGGAAAGATGGGGTAAAGGAAGTTTTGTGGGCAAGGGGCTTGGACTTCCAGCAAGCGTGCATAAGCGTGTTAGATAGGAGTGGAGACGAATGATACTTGGGACCTGACGATCTGTTGGAGTGTGAGCAGGGTAATATTTAGTGAAGAGATTCAGGGAAACCGGTTATTTTCATATAGTCGGACTTGAGTCCTGGAAATGGGAAGTACAATGCCTGCACTTTAAAGGAGGGGTTTGGGATATTGGCAGTTTGGAGGGATATGTTGTGTATCTTTATATGTATATGCTTCTAAACTGTTGTATTCTGAGCACCTCTGCAAAAGCAGTGATAATGTGTGAGTGTGGTGAAAGTGTTGAATGATGATTAAAGTATTTTCTTTTTGGGGATTTTCTTTCTTTTTTGGGTCACCCTGCCTCGGTGGGAGACGGCCGACTTGTTGAGAAAAAAAAAAAAAAAAAAAAAAAAAAAAATTCTAGCGGCTTCAAATCAAGAGGAAGAAAGCTGGTAGGCCCACATGTGACAGAATGGGTCTGTGTGGTCAGTGTGCACCACATAAAAAAAAATCCTGCAGCACACAGTGCGTAATGAGAAATAAAAACTGATCGTTTTTTTGGATTAAAACGCCGACTTTGAGGTGTATTTTCGTATAGTATTTATAGATGTATTTGCGTTTTCATGGTCTTAGGTGATAAAATGGAAAACATATTACAGAAATAGAGATGATTTTCATTACTTTGACGATGAAAACGACCTTGAAACTGAGCTCAAAGTAGCGGAAATGTTCGATTTTTACCAATGTTCAGGATTAAAAAATCACACCACACGTCCAATACACGTTAACTGGGGAGTCTAATATTCTTTCACTAGTGCACTGATATTATTTATACCATTTTTACAATAATGCAGTAGTCTGCATAACAGTAAATTTTGTATTTTTTTGTATGAATAAAAAATCAAAATAGAAAGCAATAATAATATAAGAGGGGCCTAGAGATGTGACTAATGAACAGAGGATATGTTATTTTAGTGCCAAGAATGTCTACCTTGTTTATTTTGGACCCTATTTTGAAATTGGCATCTTTTTTAGTTTGCGTGAAATTGGCCAAATTGCCAATTTCTGACCACAATATTGGGTAGTCCAAATTGGTAAATGGGAGGTTTCTTGTACTCAGCTGATAGATAAAATGGAGTTCTAAAGAAATAGCTATGAGTTTGGTCAACCGGAACAACGGAATTGGCTGAAAATAGGGCTCAAAGTTGGCGAAATCGCCGATACGCATATGTCGCCGAGACTGCTAACTTCGCGGGAGCGTAATTCCATGAGTTTTCGACCAAATTTCGAACTTTTGGTGTCATTACCATCGGGAAAAGATTCTCTTATCATTTCATAAGAAAAAATAATTTTTTTTTTCAAAAATTTAGCAACATAGGATGAGTTTCAGAAAGGGGCCTGAAACAGTCAAAGGGTTAAATTAAGTTATTCCTGAAAACAACCTCATTTAAAGTATTTACGTCTAATTCTGTTTCAGTTAAATATTTGTTGTCAGGTTTCTTTTTCATAAAATGTTTCTGAAATTTAGTCTTTTTGAGATAATACTATGTTTATGGTACAGTGCATATGTAAAAGTTTATGAATAGTCTGTAGTTCGGTATCTGTGGTTTACTGTGGCCCAAAAATAACCCTTAATTTTGCTTAATGATGTAAAGTGCAGAAGCAGTGATGGTGGAAGTTCTTCAAAGCCTATGAATACTACATATACGTATATATATATTTTTTTTTTTTCAACAAACTGGCCGTATCCCACCAAGGCAGGGTGGCCCAAAAAGAAAAACAAAAGTTTCTCTTTTTAAATTTAGTAATTTATACAGAAGGGGTTACTAGCCCATTGCTCCTGGCATTTTAATCGCCTCTTACAACACACATAGCTTACAGAGGAAGAATTCTGTTCCACTTCCCCATGGAGACATATATAAATATACATAAATAAAGCAACAGACACTCTTACTGATTTTAATGTGTACCTGTATGCCAGCACAGTGTGTAAGTTTATTTAGGTACAGGTATACATAAGTATAATTATCAGAGTATGTATATATAAAATATGAAATAACTTTTAAAAACACTTGAAATTTTGGAGTTTCCAGACATAATGGAGAGATGTGGTGCTTACGGAGCTCACATAGAATGTAAACAAACCAGGTGGGGTGTGGTGACCGTATTAGAAAGTCAGGTGGGGGAGCCGTAGAGCAAGTTTTGGTCATAATTTGAAATGTCCGCATTAGCGGAACGCCGTAAAGCGGGGTCCTACTGTATATAGGGTTAGCTACTATCAGTGGTTTCAATATCCGTGGCAGGTACTTGTAATGTCTACCCCATGGATATGGGGTCCTTCTGTACTGTAATCTGCTAAGGAAGAGTTCAGCATATTATCTAATATTTAGCATAGTATACATGTATTCTGCACATTTAGTTCAATTATGTATAGTATATCCCAATAATGAAATATTTCAAGTTCAGAGAACTGTATGCACTTACTTTTATGTTTTAGATGTCTACTTAGAGTACCATGTTCTTTGAAGCATCGACCACAATACTGGCAATGGAACGGTGCCTCTCCAGTATGAATTCTTAAGTGACGAATCATTGAAGCTTTTGATCAAATGCTTTCTGACATTCTATGCATATGAAGGCTTTAACACTATCATGAGTTCTTTCGTGCATATTTCTGGCACTCTGAAAAAGAATTATTTAAATTATTTGAAATTAAATTATTTTTTTTTTTCAACAAGTCGGCCGTCTCCCACCGAGGCAGGGTGACCCAAAAAAAGAAAGAAAATCCCCAAAAAGAAAATGCTTTCATCATCATTCAACACTTTCACCACACTCACACACAATCACTGTTTTTGCAGAGGTGCTCAGAATACAACAACTTAGAAGCATATTATTTTATTTTTATTTTATTATCACACTGGCCGATTCCCACCAAGGCAGGGTGGCCCGAAAAAGAAAAACTTTCACCATCATTCACTCCATCACTGTCTTGCCAGAAGGGTGCTTTACACTACAGTTTTTAAACTGCAACATTAACACCCCTCCTTCAGAGTGCAGGCACTGTACTTCCCATCTCCAGGACTCAGGTCCGGCCTGCCGGTTTCCCTGAATCCCTTCATAAATGTTACTTTGCTCACACTCCAACAGCACGTCAAGTATTAAAAACCATTTGTCTCCATTCACTCCTATCAAACACGCTCACGCATGCCTGCTGGAAGTCCAAGCCCCTCGCACACAAAACCTCCTTTAACCCCTCCCTCCAACCTTTCCTAGGCCGACCCCTACCCCGCCTTCCTTCCACTACAGACTGATACACTCTTGAAGTCATTCTGTTTTCGCTCCATTCTCTCTACATGTCCGAACCACCTCAACAACTCTTCCTCAGCCCTCTGGACAACATTTTGGTAATCCCGCACCTCCTCCTAACTTCCAAACAAACGAATTCTCTGCATTATATTCACACCACACATTGCCCTCAGACATGACATCTCCACTGCCTCCAGCCTTCTCCTCGCTGCAACATTCATCACCCACGCTTCACACCCATATAAGAGCGTTGGTAAAACTATACTCTCATACATTCCCCTCTTTGCCTCCAAGGACAAAGTTCCTTGTCTCCACAGACTCCTAAGTGCACCACTCACTCTTTTTCCCTCATCAATTCTATGATTCACCTCATCTTTCATAGACCCATCCGCTGACACGTCCACTCCCAAATATCTGAATACGTTCACGTCCTCCATACTCTTTCCCTCCAATCTGATATCCAATCTTTCATCACCTAATCTTTTTGTTATCCTCATAACCTTACTCTTTCCTGTATTCACTTTTAATTTTCTTCTTTTGCACACCCTACCAAATTCATCCACCAATCTCTGCAACTTCTCTTCAGAATCTCCCAAGAGCACAGTGTCATCAGCAAAGAGCAGCTGTGACAACTCCCACTTTGTGTGTTATTCTTCATCTTTTAACTCCACGCCTCTTGCCAAGACCCTCGCATTTACTTCTCTTACAACCCCATCAATAAATATATTAAACAACCACGGTGACATCACACATCCTTGTCTAAGGCCTACTTTTACTGGGAAAAAATTTCCCTCTTTCCTACATACTCTAACTTGAGCCTCACTATCCTCGTAAAAACTCTTCACTGCTTTCAGTAACCTACCTCCTACACCATACACTTGCAACATCTGCCACATTGCCCCCCTATCCACCCTGTCATATGCCTTTTCCAAATCCATTAATGCCATAAAGACCTCTTTAGCCTTATCTAAATACTGTTCACTTATATGTTTCACTGTAAACACCTGGTCCACACACCCCCTACCTTTCCAAAACCTCCTTTTTCATCTGCTACCTATCTCCTTTTACTTTTAATCTTTCAATAATAATCTACCATACATTTACCGGGTATCCCAAACAACTTATTTAAAATTTTTTGCACTCTTTTTTATCCCCTTTTGTTTTTAAAACAAAGGAACTATGCATGCTCTCTCCCAAAACCCTAGGTACCTACCCCTTCCAAAATTTTATTAAAAAATTTCACCAACCCCCAAAACTATATCCCCACCGTTTTTTAACATTTCTACTTTACCCCAAAATCCCGCTGCCTTACCCCCTTTTCATTTTACCTCTCCCCTCAAACTTCCCCCCCACACTCCAACGGGCTTTTCCTCATCCTACAAGATTTTTATTCCTCCTTGCCCTATCACAAAAACACAGCTTCCCAAAAAATCTTCATCAACATTTAAAATTCCTCAAAATATTCCCTCCATCTTCCCAATACCTCAAAACTCCCTTTTTAATAACTCTCCTCTCCTTTTTTTAATGAAAAATTCTTTTGTTCTCTAGGCTTTCTAACTTGTTTAATCCACTCCAAAACTTTTTCTTATTTTCAACAAAATTTGTTGTAAAATCTCACTACTCCTCATTTGTTTCCTTTTTACATGCTTCACCACCCCTTTAACCTCTCTTTTTTTCTCCATAACCTTCCCTCCTTGCATCATTTCCTTTTTTGTAAAAATTTCTCATAGCAACTTTTTTCTCCCTTACTACCTCTTTACACATCTTTCCCCACCAACCTCCTCTTCCCTCCTGCACCCACTTTCCTTAACCCAAACTTCTGCTAACACTCTAACCACTTTTTTAAAAACCTACCCCATACCTTTTCAACCCCTTGCCTATGCTCTCATTAGCCCATCAAATCCTCCAAAGCTGTTTAATCTTACCCTAACTCCCTCCTCTTTTAGTTTATAAAACCTTCACCCCCTTCCATGTTTTCTATTCTCCTTGTATCCCATCTCCCTTTTTTACCTCATTACTAGAACAGAAAGTGATCTAAATTATCTGTGGCCCCTCTATAAACATGTACATCCTGAAGTCACTCAACATTTTTTATCTCCCAAATACATAATCCAACAAACACGTCATTTTTGCCCTACATCAAATCTTGTAACTATTTATCCTCTTTTTTTAAAAAATATGTATACCTATAACAAACCCCCCCTTTCATACAAATTCAATCAAAGGGCTCCCATTATCATTTAAAACCTGGCACCCCAAACTTACCTACCACACCCTCTCTAAAAGTTTCCTACTTTTAGCATTCAGGTCCCCTCCCCACAATACTCTCTCACGGTTCAAAGGCTCCTATACATTCACTTCATCCCCCAAAAAATCTCTCTCTCTCCCTCATTCCTCCTTCTCCAGGTGCATACACGCTTATTATGACCCACTTCTCGCATCCAACCTTTAGTTTAACCCACAAAATTTTCTTGAATTTACACATTCATATTCTCTTTTCCTTCCTAATTTGATCATTTAACTTTAAATGCCCCCCCCTTTTTTGCTCAACTCCCAATACTCCAGAATTAACCCCATTTTTTTTCCCCCACGAAACTCTCCTCCCCCCCCTTCAGCTTGTTTCGTTTAGGGCCGGGACACCCAATTTTTTTATTCATAACATCACAATCATCTGTTTTTTGCATCCCACTACACCACCACATTTAAGCCCCCCAGTTTTTATAAAGTTTTTTCTTCTTCTTTTTTCTATAAAGTCTACAGGAAAAGGGGTTTTACTAGCCCATTGCTCCCGGCATTTTAGCGCCCATACGACACGCATATACTATAAAAAAACAAAACATACCCCCAAACTGCCAATTTTCCAAAACTCCTCCCTTTAAATGCAGGCTTTGTACTTCCCTTTTTCCGGGACTCAAGTCCGACTAAAGAAAATAACCTTTTTCCCTGAACCCTTCACAAATATTACCCTGCCACACCCCAAAACGATCGTCAGGTCCCAAGAACCATTCGTCCCTTCACTCCAAACACCTCACGCATGCTTTGCGGAAGTCCAAGCCCCTTCCCACAAAACCCCTTTCCCCCTCTCCCCAAACCCTTTCAAGGACGACCCCTACCCGCCTTCCTTCCCCTATAATTTATGTTTTTCCATTCATTCTCTTTGATCCATTCTCTCAAATGACCAAACCACCTCAAAAACCCCTCTTCTGCCCCTCTGACTAATACTTTTATAACTCCACACCTTTCCTAATTTCCCCCCCCGAATTTTCTGCAAAAATTTTTACCCCACACATTGCCCTTAGACGGAACTCTCCACTCCTTAAACCCGTCTCCTCCCCCGCCTTTACCACCCAAGCTTCACACCCATTAAGAGTTTGTACTACTATACTTTCATACTTTCCCCTTTTTTGCCTCTAAGAAAAAGTTTTTTGACTCCAAAATATACCAATGCACCACCACCTTTTTTCCCCCATCAATTCTATGATTAACCTCACCTTCAAAATCCATCTGCCGAAACTCAACCTCCCAAATATCTGAAAACATCACTTTTTTTCCATATCCTCCCCCCCAATTTTTACCCAAATTTTTTTTACAAAATCATTTGATACCCTCATCCCCTTTACTCTTTTCATGTTCACTTTCAACTTCTACCTTTACACAATTCCCCCCAAACTCATCCACTAACCTTTGGAATTTTTTTTTTAGAATCTCCCATAAGCACAGTATCAGAAAAATTTTTTAATTTTAATTTAATTATTCCCAAATTTTAATCCACCTCTCCCTTTCCGAAACCCCCAGCTTTCTTCTTTTACAAACCCATCTTCTAAATAAAATTAAACAACCCGTACATTACCACCCCAAAAATTTTGGGAAACTCCCTTTTCCACCCCAAACCCATATATCCTTAAAAACCTTTTAAGCATTTTTTAAAATTCCACCTATTTCCATATACTTTGAACACTGCAAGTCCCCTACCACAATTGCCTTTCCAAATCCATTTCAAAAAAAATTTCCCCACCTTTTCTTACTTTTACATTATTTTCAATTAAAATTCTAAAAAAAACCCAAAAGTTTAAAAAACCGTTTTTTCCCACTTTTTTTCCGGGAACTCAATAAACTTATTCGTCTATAATTTTTACAATCCTTTTGTCCCCTTTTCCCTTTTTAAAAGGGATTATACATGCTCTCTGCCAACCCTAGTACCTTTTTCCCCCCTTTATACATTTATTAAAAAAAAGTACCCAAACACCCACTTTTCCCCCCCCTGCTTTTTACATTTCTGTCATTATCCCTATTCCAGCTGCTTACCCCCTTTCATTCTAGTAATGCCCCCGCGTACCTCCCCCAACTTACATTCTACTCTTCTTACTCCTAAAAGATGGTATACCTCCCTACCAAACATAAATTTCCGCCTCCCTTTCTTCCCCCAAAATTTAAAATTCCCCAAAAATTCTCGCCATCAAACCAATACCTCCCTCTCCCCCTCCTCCCCCCCTACTCTGTTTTTAACTGACAAATCCATACTTTCCCCCAGGGTTTCTTAACTTGTTTAACTCACTCCAAATTTTTTTCTTATTTTTCATTAAAAAATTCCCTTTACAGTGCCTCTCCCCCTCTATCTCGCTCCTTTTTGCACTCTCCACCCACTCTCTTCACCTTTTTTTTACTCTCCATAACTCTGCTTTTTTTAAACACTTCCTTTTTAAAAAAACCCTCTTTAACAACTTTTTTTTTTTTTTATCACACCCTTTACTTCATCATTCCACCAACACCCTCTTCCACCTGCCCCCACCCTCCTGTAAACCACAAACTCTGCCCCAATTCTATCACTGCATTTTTAAAAAATATTTCCCAAACCCTCTTTATCCCCCCCTACTCATCTTGACTACCCACCTTTTTGCCAACAGTCGCTTATACTCCCCCGAACTTCCCCTCCCCTTTTTTATCACTTTCACCCCCCTCTTACTTTTTTTTGGCCCCCCTCCCTTTCCCTCTACCCTTACTCTGTAGCTACAACTAAAAAATGACCGATACATCATTGCCCCCCCTTTTTAAAAAATGACATCCGGACCCCCCATCAACCTTTTATCCACCAATACATAACAACAAACTACTTCATTTCGTGCTACATCATACCTTGTAATTTATCCTCTTTTTCATAAAATATGTATTACTTATTACCAAATCCTTTTTACACATACCAAAATTTAAAGGGTCCCCATTTACATTTTCCCCCGGCACCCCAAATTTACCTATACTCCTTCCAAACATTTTTTACCCACTTTTGCATTGAAATCCCCAAACCCCCATTACTCCACACTTGATTCAAAGCCCCCCCATCATTCCCTCAACCTTTCCCAAATCCTCCTCTCCTCACACTTCTTTTCCCCCTCCAGGTCATCACCTTACTAAACCCACTTTTCACATCCAATCTTTATTTTAAAATTCCACTTAATCCTTGAATTAATACATTTATTCCCTCTTTTCCGCCATAGCTTATCCTTTAAAAATTTTCTACTCCTTCTTTAGCTCTAACTCTATTTGAAACCCCGACCTAAAACCCCTTTATTCCCTTTTCCCATTAAACTCCCCACCCCCTTTAGCTTCGTTTCACTTTAAAACCAGGGCATCCACTTCTTCTCATTCTAAAATCCACAATCATCCTTTCTTATCATTTGCACAACCCTGCACATTTAATTTCCCCCTTTGCCAATTTTCTTTTTTTATATTCTTTTTTGTAACCTTTACAGGAAAAGGGTTACTAGCCCATTTTTCCCGGCATTTTAGTTGACTTTTTCAAAACGCATGGCTTACGGAGGAAAGATTCTATTCCATTCCCCATGGGGTATAAAAGGAAAAGTAATAAACCAAAACTATTAAAAAATCAAAAAAAAACTCAGATGAGTTTGGGTTTAAAAAAAACAGTACATTATTGAAATGTGACCTAAATGTAAGTAGAAAATAGCAAGACATACCTGAATTTTGCATATTTAGAGACAACAAAAAACACCAGCAATCCCCCATCATTAAAAAAATTACAGGCTTTTTTTTTTACATTCACTTTGGGAGGGAAAGGAGTACCTCCCTGGGTGTTGCTGTCTACCAACCCACTACCACTACTTATTTCCAAATTTCTTTTTACACATAGCTCAATTAAAGGCCCCCAATTACATTTACCCCCTGGCAACCCCAAATTTACCCACTCTCCCCCATAACAAAAATTTACCCACTTTACATTGAAATCCCCAACCACCATTACCCCTCCCACTTGATTCAAAAATCCCCACGCATTCACTCAACATTTTCCCAAAACTCTCCTCTCCTCTACAAATTCTCTCTTTTCCAGGCTACACCTTACTATAACCCACTTTTCACATCCAATCTTTATTTTACTCCACATAATCCTTGAATTAATAAAATTTGTAGTCCTCTTTTTCCTGCCATAGCTTATCCTTCAACATTATTCTACTCTTCTTAGCCTAACTCTATTTGAAACCCGACCTAATCCTTTATTCCTCTCCATTGAAACCCCCCCCCCTTCAGCTTTGTTTCACTTGAAGCCAGGACATCCAGTTTCTTCTCATTCATAACATCCAAAAATCATTCTTTCTTATCATTTGCACAACATCCACGCACATTCGGGACTTCCCACTTTGACAATTTCTTCTTCTTATTTTTTTTTAGTAATCTTTACAGGAAAGGGGTTACTAGCCCATTTTTCCCCGGGCATTTTAGTTGACTTTCACAACACGCATGGCTTATATCATTAAAAATAAATAAGTACAGTACAGTATGTCAATTAGTGATATATTGAAATTATAACTTGATATAATCATGCTAAATTATCTGTAATGGTACCTGCAATTTGTGTAATATTATAAGTAATTAAGGCCAATTTATTATTATTATTTTGAAGTAATTTTACATTTAAACAATTGATTATATCTGCATGCAGCAATGGCTCCTGTTGAAAATGGTGGCAAATGTGCACATTCCATTCACTGATCATTGGGTTTTAATCTTATTACTTTTACTCAGGATGCAAATAATTATTGTATTATTAAAAGCAAAGTCTTTTAATGAACATAAAATTCCATACAAAGATGTAATTCTTACTTTTGTTTTATATAAATTGTTACAGTATCTGCATGGTATTGTCTTGGTGTTGGAATGAGTGTGAAGATGGCTTCTTGCATGATTTAGAAGCTTGAATGTCTTGTTGCACATCTGACATACAAACTGACGTAAAGAAGAGTGTGAGGACAAATGGCGGGAGAGTGTCTGCTGGGGGGAAAAATGACTTTCCACATTCAGTGCACTTTTCCCCAAGTTCACCTGTTTGGAACATTTTATTATAACAGTAATATTATAAAGAGAAGAAAATGTTTTTACCATTAAAACATAATTACCCCACTTTTATAGTTTAAGGTAAGAATTACCATTCTATAAGAGGGATTAGCAGAACTATAAACTTGTAACATTAACACATCATTTTGGATAGATGAAAATATGAGGCATTCCAGTAGCGAATTGTGCCTCAGCACAAACAATCCTTAAGACATTTTTTATCCTATCAAATGCATACTGTGATACAGTGGAACCCCTGCTTAATAACCCAGAAGGAAACCAAAGGAACTGTCTGTCAAGCAAAAAGTAAGTATAGCAAATTATATTTTTCCCATGGAAAAATGTGATTTGCTTTACTTACTTTTCACGTGACAGACAGTTCCTTTGGTTTCCTTCTGGGTTATTAAGCAGGGGTCCACTGTATCACAGCATGCATTTGATAGGATAAAAAAATGTCTTAGGGGATTGTTTGTGCTGAGGCACAAACAATTCCCTAACTAGAGATGGGGACAGAGCCAGTAAGATTCTGTATAAATTCCTATTCATTTTTAATTATGAAATTAAAAAGTGTACTCACCAAAGATGAATCCACTGTCTAGTAAAAGCATTAGTGCAGTTTGAGCCTCTTGTTATGGGTGCATAACAAAAAGTATGAAAAATTAAACAGGGTCTGACTGTATCATTGAAAGAAGAGTGATAACATATTACATACTATGCCTCTCACCACCATTCCTCCCTCCATTTTCCAGAGATAAGCCCATTGTTTAGTTGAAGTTTAGTTGTATAATACCTCATTGTATCAGTGCACAACACAAAAACTATGAAAAATATCATAAGAACACAAAAAAGTATAACATTGTGTTTTTATTGTTGGGTTGAAAAGTTGTGATGGCTCCTAGGCCAACTATTATTGAGTCTAAAGAGTTGCAACAGCCCTTAGGCTGGAGGAGGGAGGTGTGGTGGAAGATACAGTGTGTAATATGACATTGCTCCTTTCTCAGATACAATCAGACCCTGTCTCTCCCAGGGCACAGTACAGTATATATATATATTTTTTTAACACATCGGCAGTCTCCCACCAAGGTAGGGTGGCCCGAAAAAGAAACACTTTCAGCTTCATTCACTCCATCACTGTCTTGCCAGAGGCATGCTTACACTACAGTTATAAAACTGCAATATGAATACCCCTCCTTCAGGGTATAGGCAATGTACTTCTCAGTATGCAAACAGTTTTTATACTGTACAGTTGCCTGCACTCAGGAGGGGTGGGGATGCCAAAGTTTGGAGACTCATCAGAGCTGTGATGCTGGCACCTTTCTGGCAAGACAGTGATTGAATGGGTGACAGTGAAAATGTTTTCTTCTTTGGGTCATCCTGCTTTGATGGCCAGAGTTTAAAAAAAAAAAAAATTTCCCATATCTGATCTAATGATGCAGAGAATATGAAAACCCTATATAGCAGGGTCCTGCTTTACAGCGTTTTGCCTTACAGCATTCTGCTAATACAGACATTTCAAATTATGACCTAAACTCTTTATACGGCTCCCCCCACCTGACTTTCTAATACGGTCACCATGGGCCACCCGTTTTGTTTACATTCTCCGTGAACACAAGTCTCCATTATGTCTGGAAACTTTCCAAAATTTCAAGTTATTTCATATATACTCTGATAATTATACTTATGTGCACCTGTACCTAAATAAACTTACACACTGTGCTGGCATGCAGGTACATGCTAAAATCACAAAGAGTGTCTTATTAGTCATGAAGATGCCATATTAATAATGATAATAATTTTTTTTTTTAACAAGTTGGCCATCTGACACTGAGGCAGGGTGACCCAAAAAAGAAAGAAAATGCCCCAAAAAAAAATGCTTTCATAATCATTCAACACTTTCACCTCACTCACACATAATCACTGTTTTTGCAGAGGTGCTCAGAACACAACAGTTTAGAAGCATATACGTATAAAGATACACAATATATCCCTCCAAACTGCTAATATCCCGAACCCCTCCTTTAGAGTGCAGGCATTGTACTTCCCATTTCCAGGACTCAAGTCCGGCTATATGAAAATAACCGGTTTCCCTGAATCCCTTCACTAAATATTACCCTGCTCACACTCCAACAGATCGTCAGGTCCCAAATACCATTCGTCTCCATTCACTCCTATCTAACACGCTCATGCACGCTTGCTGGAAGTCCAAGCCCCTCGCCCACAAAACCTCCTTTACCCCCTCCCTCCAACCTTTTCGAGGACGACCCCTACCCCGCCTTCCTTCCATACAGATTTATACGCTCTCCATGTCATTCTACTTTGATCCATTCTCTCTAAATGACCAAACCACCTCAACAACCCCTCTGACTAATACTTTTATTAACTCCACACCTTTTCATAATTTCCACACTCCGAATTTTCTGCATAATATTTACACCACACATTGCCCTTAGACAGGACATCTCCACTGCCTCCAACTGCCTCCTCGCTGCTGCATTCACAACCCAAGCATCACACCCATATAAGAGTGTTGGTACTACTATACTTTCATACATTCCCTTCTTTGCCTCCATAGATAACGTTTTTTGCAATAATAATAATCAGTCTGAGGTGCATTAAATGTCATACATTATTATGTTAATACTGTACAAACATTTTCATTAATCCATCTATGATATTTTTTTCAAATTAGTATAAACACGCTACATAACATATAAACATGATAAATACATACAACCACAGTAGAATAAATTAACATACATATGAGATGTTTTTCCAGTCATGTTGTCGGTGTTGGAAAAAAAATGTTTCCTATAAACCAACACCAAAGAATATGTATTACTGGGAGTACCATGGAACCTCGGTTTTTGTTTGCCCTGGTTTTCATCAAGTTTGGTTTTCGATGACTTTTTTCATCAAAATATTGTCCCAGTTTTCGTTCATCAGCTCAGTTTTCGTCTGCCATACAGAACATGTCTGTCTTCCCGCACCCACACAAAGCATCCCATGCACACATTCTGAGTCAGTCTGGTTTTGTTTCTCGTCAAGTGAACATTACCTTGTGCTTTCATACGAAACATTTTGTAATAATCCAATGTTTTTTGTGCTTGTTTATTGAGTGCGACTGCTAAATAAGCCACCATGGGGCAAAAGAAAGTTTCGAGTGCCAGTCCTTTGATAAAGAAGGTGAGAAACAAGAAAGAAACTCTTCAGGAAAGAACTCGTAGCAAAGTATGAAGGTGGAATGAGTTGCAAAGTTTTGTGGAGAAATATCACTACCACCCTCTACAAAGGTAGAGGGTGGTAGTGATTGTGGTAGAGGGTGGTAGTAATGGTGGTAGCAGGTGGTAGTGATGGTGGTAGCAGGTGGTAGTGATGGTGGTAGAGATAACCTCTCCCCTCCTCGCCATCTTCTATATGCCAACAAGATGTTAAATGTTCATTTATCCATTTCATTAGTGCTTTATATTTATTTCTCATTGTTTTCTGTACGTAAAACTATACAGTAGTTATTCTCTATAAAATGTATTTTTTTGTGAATATTTTTGGGTGTCTGAAATGGATTAATTGGATTTACATTATTTCTTATGGGAAATATTGCTTCAGTTTTTGTCAAATTTGGTTTTTGTCAGACTCTCTGGAACAAATTAAAGACGAAAACCGAGGTTCCACTATAACTGCAGAAAATTATTCCTTTTTAATGCCTTCACTCACAGCGTTATTCCTTCTAAAAATGGTGTGTTATACGAGAATGGGAGAGTTGCTCTTTATTTTACTGTACCAACAGGGAGACAACTTGTACACAATGTAGTGTGTTTGTATTATGATATAAGCTTTACAAATATGGAAATTAATGTGTATCAACCCACCAGCCTTGTTCGTCTATTTGTTTACATACTCTACCACTCTATCCTCTCTCATTTACTCGTTCTCTCTCTCTTGTTAATTTGTTTTTACAGTAGACCCTTGACCAACGATATTAATCCGTTCCAGAGGGCTCATCGTTAGACGAAATTATCGTTAGTTGAATTAATTTTACCCATAAGAAATAATGAAAATCAAATTAATCCGTTCAAGACACCAAAAAGTATGAAAAAAAAAATTGTTACCACATGAAATATACATTTTCCTACACACAAACAAAAGGATAGATGCACAATACATGTATATATATGTATATTGTGTAATGAAGCATAAATGACACTTACCTTTACTGAGGATGTGGTAATGAGTGATAGGATGGGAGGAGGGGAGATGATGGACGTTATTATTTTTTGGAAGGGGAATCCCCTTCCATGAGAACTTGAGGTCCAAACTGGTAGCCTCACCATGCCTTATCACACTATACTATATGCCACTACGATTCTTAAATCTCTCAAACCAACCTTTGCTGGTCTTAAATTCACTCACATCACCACTAGTAGCAGGCATTTTTTTAATTAAATCGTCATGCAACTGCCTTGACTTTAAACATATGATTGCTTGAGAGACGCTATCTCCTGATACCTGTTTTTCGTTTATCCACACTAATAACAGTCTCTCAACATCTTCGACTACTTGCGATCTGTGTTTCGAAAACATACTTGCACCTTTCGCAACAACAGCTTCCTTGATTGCCTTTCTGTTGGCCAGGATAGTAGCAATGGTTGATTGGGGTTTGTTATCCAACCTGACCAGCTTGGAGACACGCACTCCAGTTTCATACTTTGTGATGATCTCCTTCTTCATTTCAATTGTAATTCTCACCCTTTTTACCACAGGCTTGGCACTAGAAGCTTTCTTGGGGCCCATGGTGGGTTATTTTGCAGTTACAAGCACTAAAAACACTGGAATAATACAAAATGTACTGAATGTATGCATGGATGCGCATGCACTGGCTTGTAAACACTGGCACACTAATTGAAGGCAGAGCAGCTAAGGTGCGCTCAGGCCAGACGGGACACGTGGACCACGTGTTCGGGACGAATCATGTTGGTCGAGTTTTTCATCGGTGGTTGGGCCAAAATTTTTACGCTCAAATGCTTCGTTAGTCGAATTTATCGTTAGATAATGCCTTCGTTGGTCAGGGGTCCACTGTATATTGTTTACTCACCTCTCATCCTACATTAAGACTACGAATACTTTAACCCTTAAACGGTCCAAACGTATATATAGGTTTTTCAACATTTGAAAGTAGTATGTAAAAAAATGTACATCAACTTTTTTTTTTTTACATTTGAAAATGTGTAAAAAAACTTTTATCTACATTTTTTTTGTTATATTTGAAAATATGTAAAAAAACATAGATCCTCTTTTGGAGCACTACGGATTTGAACGTTGATCTATTTGGACCGTTTAAGGGTTAAGGTAAGTAATGAGTGTACTGTATATCCATATTATCACTCTAGGGCACTTTAAATGTCGTAGTATATTATGTGTGGATAGGTTGGCTAGGAGGGCTACCATACCTGACGTCTTACAATAAATACTACTCACCTCTCACCCTACATTAAGACTACAAATATTTTGAGGTAAGTAATAAGTGTACTGTGTGTTTATTTCACCTTTTTATTGTTTTTAATGCCTAGTTAGTTCTATTGCTAACTTAATATATATTAGTGTAAACTTGTTTTCTGGCATGAATATGCATTTATTAGTGAAAAAAAAATGGTGTTCTGTTTTCTGGCAGTAGCCTGGAACCTAACCTGTCATATAAATGGGGTTCTACTGTATGTGTTGACTGCTATGCAGGAAGCAGCTGATTTTGGCCTATCTTTGGAAACCTGCGAGATGACCAAGTTTTTTTCAAGATAGTAAAAGCCTTCTTCTACTGATAGAGTCACCCCCCCAAAAAAGCAGAAACATTTTCACTAAGTCATTCAAGTGCCATCTTGCAAAAAGTGTGCAAGCATCACAGCTCAAATGACCTAAACTGCAACATCCCTACCCCTCCTTCAGAGTCTAGGCACTGTACTTCCCACCTCCAGGACTCAAGTCTGCCTAACCAACTTTCCCTCAAACATTTCATTAACATTACCTTCTTCACACTCCAAGAGCAAGTCAAATCATAAAATCCACTAGTCTATACCCACTCCTATCTAACATGCATTACTGGATGGAGACGAGACAGTTTTGTCCGTAGATCTATGTTACTGATGCCAGGATCACTTATGTAGATCTATCTCAAATAAGCTGTGAATGGTAAATTTTGACCTAGACATGAGAGAATGGGTTTTATGGTGACTGCACACTGTGTAAAAAAATCTTGCCCCATGTGGTGCATGATGGAAAAAAGCAAAACTCTGACCTTGTGTCTGGTTTTAAAATAGCAATTTTGAGGTGTTTTCTAGAATTGTTTTTTATGGTTTTATTAGCTTTTTGTTTTTAATCAATTGATAGAATGGAAGATATACTAATGAAATATGTACATGTAATTTTGGTTGGCACAAATTAGTGGAAATATTAGATTTTTTGACGATTTTCCAGAAGATGGGTAAGGCATCACTACGCCTTCCCAGGTCTGTTTCAATTATTGGAATACCTGATTCAATTACTGGAATGCTGTAAACCATAACCAACTATTTCTGGTTCTATTAATATAAAAAAATTGGGTAAATCTTCAATGTTTTGTGAAGAAGAATTCAAAATGGAGGGCATGTGTAATACAGGAGAGGCCTGATAATGTGATTAAAGAACATAAATGTTACTTTAGTCCCCGGAATCTACAGTACAGTGGAACCTTGAATATCGGCTGCTGTGAGTATTGGCTGAATTGTATTTAGGCCGGGTTTTGGGCCAAAATTTTGCTTCGTGTTTCGGCCGGTGCCTTGCAAATGAGCCGTATTAAATGTGTCAGCCTACCTCCTGCCGGGGCACCGCGCATAGGTGAGTCAGTCTCCCTGTCTCTCTCGGTGAGTGAGCATATACTTTGCACATTCATCCAAACGTTTCCTTAAAATCCATTCTATGAACTGATTAAGTCATTTCCGGTGGTTAAAGGCAATTATCAGATAGCCTTACGTGTCTTAGCAGACAATTACTTTGATGCTGACAAGGCTAGAGTTAGACATGCAGTCTTAATATCAAGCTTTTGTGCTTGTTTATTAAATGTGACTATGAAATAGGCCACCATGGGCCCAAAGAAAGTTCAGGTGCCAGTCCTTTAGTAAAGAGAGAAACACGACAGAATTGAAGGAAGAAGTTGTAGAAAAATACGAGAGTGGTGTGCATGTGCTCCAGCTTGCCAAGATGTATGGCAAAAACATTAGTGCTGATGTTAGTGAATTTAAGGCCAGCAGAGGCTGGTTTGACATATTTAAGAAGCATAGTGGCATACACAGTGTTGTAAGGCATGGTGAAGCTGCAAGTTCAGACAAAGCCAACATGTGGCTGAAAAATTTGTTCAGGAATTCAAGGGGTAAGTACAGACTGAAGGATTCCACCCCCAACAAGTGTTCAATTGTGATGAAACAGGCCTCTTTTGGAAGAAAATGCCAAAGAAGACCTACATCACACAGGAGGAAAAGGCACTGCCAGGACACAAGCCTATGAAGGATAGGCTAACTCTCTTGTTCTGTGGTAATGCCAGTTGGGATTTCAAAGTGAAGCCTTTACTAGTGTATCACTCTGAAAATCCCAGACTGTTCAAGAAAAACAATGTCATCAAGAGTAAATTGTGTGATGTGGAAAGCTAATCATAAGGCATGGGTCACAAGGCAAATTTTCACTGACTGGGTCCATGAAGTTTGACCCGAGTGTGAAAAAATACCTCCAGGAAAATAAATTGCCACTCAAGTGCCTCCTGGTAATGGACAGTGCTCCTGCTCATCCTCCAAACTTGGTAGACCAATTGTCTAGGGATTTCAGTTTTATAATAGTAAAGTTCTTGCCTCCTAACACCACTCCTCTCATCCAGCCCATGAACCAGCAGGTTCATGGGCTGGATGTTTCAAAGTGTTTCAAAGGTGCTTTGAAGTGACCTCAGACACTGAATTGACCCTAAGAGAGTCCTGGAGGAATCACTTCAATATCAACAACTGCATAAGCCTTATAGGTAAGGCTTGGCAGGGAGTGACTTCCAGGACTTTGAACTCTTCTTGGGGAAAATTGTGGCCAGAATATATCCTCCAGAAGGGTTTTGAAGGGTTTCAGGCTGACCCCGAGGACCCTATGCATGTTGTGGAAACTGCTGTGTCTTTGGGGAAGTCCATGGGGTTGGATGTGAGTGGCCAGGATGTGGAAGAGTTGGTGGAGGGCTACAGGGAAGAGATAACCACTGAAGAGCTACAAGACCTTCAACTGGAACAGAAACAGACCACAGCTGAGGAACTTGCTTCAAAGGAGGAGGAAGAGAGAGGGAAGTAGGTGCCTTGCTCAGAAATTAAGGAGATTTGTGCAATGTGGAGTAGGGTGTAAGCTTTTGCTGAGAAATATCACCCTGACCAAGCTGAAACAACCCATATCTGCAACATGTTCAATGACAAAACCTTGGCCCACTTCAGGCAAATCTTAAAGAGGTGCCAGAAACAGATCTCTCTGGATAGTTTTTTGTGCGATATGGGTCCAGTGACTCTCAAGCTGATCCTAGTGCTATTAAAAGACAAAGAAGGGAAGTAACCCCAGATAGGGCTTTGATACCTGAAGTCATTATGGAGGGGAATTCCCCTTCCAAACAATAACCTCTTCTCCTCCTTCTCCCCTCCTCCCTGTCTTCCATATGCCAACAAGAGTCATCAATACAGGTATGTAATAATGATTTAAATGTTCATTTATATGTAATTGTCATTGTTTTGTGCATGTAAAACTATAGTTAAACTTTACAAAATGTACTTTTTTTATTATTTTTGGGTGTCTCGAACAGATTAATTGTATTTACATTAATTCTTATTGGAAATATTGCCTCGAATTTAGGCTGACCTTCTGAAACAGATTGCGGCCGATATTTGGAGTTCCACTGTATTTTATTTTGGACTCCATTGTAAAATGAATTTCATTAATTTTGTATAAAATTGGCCAAATTAGCAAATTCTGTGTACTTTATATAGTAGTTCTGATAGTTGAATTGGAGGTTTCTTTAGCTCAATCATGAAAACAGAAGGCAAACTAGTGAAATAGCTAAGAATTGGTTTGAATTGAGCAATGGAACTGGCTTCAAACAGGACACAAAGTGGGCAAAATCGCCAATGTGCAAACTGTGCCCAGAGCACTAACTTTGCGTCTGCAAAATTTCATAAGTTTTGCATTAAATTTCATATTTTTGGTGTCATTACCTTCAGAAAATGATTCTCTACCATTTCAGAAGGATTAAAAAAAAAAAAAAAATGCCGATAGTGTGCAGCTTTATTTTTGGGGGTCCCAACAGTAAAAGGGTTAATCAGGGAAGAACGGGCAGGCTGCAATAGGTTGTTTTTTCTTTACTTAAAATCACATTATGCAAATGGCTGTTAAGTGGGAGTTTACAGTACTAGTTTCCCCATGGTGATGGAAAGTGTTAAAACTAGTTTAATTGAATACATGTTATGATACTAGTTTTCTCTGGTGCTAGCGAGTATGGAAGCAAGTTTGAGCAAATGTATTACTGATATTTATTACCTGTGGTTCTAACGAGTGTAAAAGCTAGTTTTATCAAATGTACATGATGAGAACAACAGGAATATTTAATAATATGAAAGGCAAGTTTTTTTGGAAAAAAAAAAAACTTGGTACACATAATGGCATTAAAATCTTACCAAGATGTAGTTTCATATGTGATGCCAGGGTTGATCTTCTACAATAATTCTGACAACAAACAGGACATGTAAAAGATTTTCTTATAATGTCTGGGATCAAATGAGGGGGCTTGATGTCTCCTAAATCTTCAGAGCTCATACCTGCAAGATTCAATTATTATTAATCAAAAGTATAGTACAGGGTATATCAATTAAAAACATTTATTTTAAAACCTTGACTTGTAAAATAATTAAACATCTCCACACAAAGATAACCTACTGATGGCTATCCACCTTGCAGGCTGGCCTGTAGACCCATGCAATATTAAATTTTGTTAACTGTCTGAATATGGGAGCAATTGGTTAAAAATTTCATGAGCATTAAATACCATTGCACTGTTCCCGCATACATTGCTAGTTTTGCACAACTTCAGATTCAACAGATATTACAAAATTTATGTAAAGCCTTTATCATAAAGTGTGATCGTTTCATCCTGAAAGCCTCATTTTTAATGTCAGATGATTTTCATCTAACATTAGAAATGACCCCAACATTTAGTGCTAATGTTAGTAGAAACCCTAGGTAGTAGGATGGTAGACAGCAACCACCCAGGGAGGTACTACCGTCCTGCCAAGTGAGCGTAAAACTAAAGCCTGTAATTGCTTCACATGATGGTAAGATTGTTGGTGTCCTTTTTCTGTCTCATAAACATGCAAGATTTTGGGTAGGTCTTGCTACTTCTACTTACATTAAGGTCATATTACACATGCATGTACAAACACATATATACAGACCCTTCTGGGTTTTCTTCTATTTTTCTTACTAGTTCTTGTTTTTGTTTATTTCCACTTATCTCCAAAGGGAAGTGGAAGAGAATTCTCTTCCTCCGTAAGCCATGTGTGTCACAAGAGTCGACTAAATTGCTGGGAGCAAGGGGCTAGTAACCCCTTCTACTGTATATATTACTAAATGTAAAAGGAGAAACTTTCATTTTTCTTTTTGGGCCACCCCACCTCGGTGGGATACAGCCGGTGTGTTGAAAGATAGTGGAAATTGACCAGAGAAGGCACTGGTTTACTTGGTATACAGAGAGAATGGGTCTGTGTGATGAGCTTGTGTGGTATTAAAAAAATCTGCCCCACATGGTCCATGATGGGAAAAGCCAACTTCTGACCTTGTGTTTTGTTTGAATAGAGATTTTGGGGTGTTTTCTAGGACGGGTTTCACAGTTTTATTGACTGTTTCTTGATATCAATTGGTAGAATGGAAGACATACTCCAAAATAGAGATGATTTTGGTTGGTTTCAGGACCAGAAGTACCTTAAAATTGAGCTCAAGGTAATAGAAATATTATTTTTGAGGATGGATAAAGCCTCTATCCCCCCATTCCATTTATTTTATGGGTTTTTACTAGGTTTGTCTCAATTACTGGGATGCCCTAAACCATGACAAATGATTCCTGGTTATATTTTATTATCTCAGAATTAGGGTAAATTTTCAATTTTTTGTGTAGTGATGAATTCAAAATGGAGGGCAAGTGTAATATAGGAGGGGCCTGGGGACATAATCAATGAATAGAGGATAAGTTGCCTTAGTGACTGGAATGCCTACAGTATTTATTTTGGACTATGTTTTTAAATTAGAATTATTTTTAATTTTGCAGAAATTGGCCAAATTACCGAATTCTGTGCACTTTATATAAGGGTAATTCTGACAGTTGAGTGGGCAGTTTCTTGTACTCTTTTGATATAAAGGAAGCCATACTAGAGAAATAGCTAAGAATTTGGTCAAATTGAGTAACAGAAATTGTCTTAAAATAAGATTTCAAATCAAATGAATGGAATAGCCAATGTGCAAGTAAGTTTCCCATCAAAGTTTACATTTACACACACACACACACACAAAAAAAAAAAAAAAAAAAAAAAAAAAAAAAAAAAAAAAAAAAAAAAAAAAAAAAAAAAGACACTTGTCAGCACTTTGATAGCACTGTAGTCTTCTGCTCCTGAAATAAGACTGAGTTTTAGGCAAAGGAAGGATTACAGATTGTGTAGTACAAGAAAAAATGTGACTGTGGAAAACAGAAGAGAGGTTTGTCACTTACTGTTTTCAGGAAGTAGATTGTGCTTCTCCTCAGCAAGGGTGTTAGGAATGAGTGGCATCTCCATTTTGCAAGGAACCAGCAGGTTAGAGTTGTCTGGTAAGTTGTTGTGGTGTAGTTGATGAGAAATGGTGTCCTCTTGTTTAACTGTTGCTTGAGTACCTGTAATACATTATACTGCCATATTACTACGTTATAGCAAATTTTTTTAACACGCTGACCATCTTCCATTGAGGAAGGGTGACCCGGAAACCGCTGTCACCATCATTCACACTATTACTGTCTTGCCAGAGGCGGATAACTACAGCAGTTCAACTGACCCTCCAAACAGCTAATATCCTCACTCCCTCCTTCAGAGTGGAGGAGGCACTGTACTTCCCACCTCCAGGACTTAAGTCTGACTCACAGTTTTGCGATGAATCCCCTCACAAAATATTACCCTGCTAACACTCCAAGAGGTCCCAAAGACCCTTTGCTTCCACTCACTCCTATCTAACACACTCACACATGCCTGTTGGATGTCCAAGCCCCTTCTACACAAAACCTCCTTTACCCCCTCCCTCCAATATTTCCAGGATGACCCCAACCCTACCTTCCCTCCACTGCAGATTTATATGCCCTCCATGTCATCCTATTTTGCTCCGTCCTTTCATACCAACCCCTCCTCAGCCCTCTGGATAATCCTTTTAGTAATCCCGCACCTCCTAATCTCCAAACTACGAATTCTCTGCATAAATATTCACACCACACATTGCCTTAAGACATGACTTCTCCACTGCCTCCAGTCTCCTCCTTGCTGCAACATTCAAAACACATGTTTCACACCCATAAATGAGTATTGGTACTACTACAATATCTAATATATTCCCTTTTGCCTCCATGGAAAATATTTTGTCTACAGATGCCTTACCTTCCAATCCGATATCCAATATTTCATTACCTAAATTTTTTGTTACCCTCATCGTCTTGGTCTTTCCTACGTACACTTTTAATTTCCTTCTTTTACATATTATTACTATTTATTACATTCAATGGGAGTGCTAAACCCACAGGGGTCATACAGTGCCTGGGAGCAATGGAAAGCATTCAGACTCAATTCAAGGCATTGGAGCAAAGGTCTTAGTTCCTTACATTAAGAGCCCCTCACCAGCATCAAGGAACCTTCCTTGAAGTACAGCATTTCTTATGAACATCAATATTAACAAAAACAAAATGAACCCAAATCTGAACAAAAAATTGTATTTTCTTTTTTTCAACAAGTCAGCCATCTCCCACCAAGGCAGGGTGACCAAAAAAGAAAGAAAATCCCCAAAGAGAAAATACTTTCATCATCATTCAACACTTTCACCTCACTCACACATAATCACTGTTTTTGCAGAGGTGCTCAGAACACAACAGTTTAGAAGCATATACGTATAAAGATATACAACATATCCCTCCAAACTGCTAATATCCCAAAACCCCTCCTTTAGAGTGCAGGCATTGTACTTCCCATTTCCAGGACTCAAGTCTGACTATATGAAAATAACCGGTTTCACTGAATCCCTTCACTAAATATTACCCTGCTCACACTCCAACAGATTGTCAGGTCCCAAATACCATTCGTCTCCATTCACTCCTATCGAACACGCTCATGCATGCCTGCTGGAAGTCCAAGCCCCTCGCCCACAAAACCTCCCTCACCCCTTCCTTCCAACCTTTTCGAGGACGACCCCTACCCCGCCTTACTTCACCTACAGATTTAAATGCTCTCCATGTCATTCTACTTTGATCCATTCTCTCTAAATGATCAAACCACCTCAACAACCCCTCTTCAGCCCTCTGACTAATACTTTTATTAACTCCACACCTTCTCCTAATTTCCACACTCCGAATTTTCTGCATAATATTTACACCACACATTGCCCTTAGACAGGACATCTCTACTGCCTTCAACCGCCTCCTCACTGCTGCATTCACAACCCAAGCTTCACACCCATATAAGTGTTGGTACTACTATACTTGGTACTACTATACTATATGGAGAATAGGATAGCAGATGAACAAGGAGGCTTTAGGAAAGGTAGGGGGTGTGTGGACCAGGTGTTTACAGTGAACAGTATTTAGATAAGGCTAGAGAGGTCTTTGTGGCATTTATGGATTTGGAAAAGGCGTATGACAGGGTGGATACGGGGGCAATGTGGCAGATGCTGCAGGTGTATGGTGTAGGAGGTGGGTTACTGAAAGCAGTGAAGAGTTTTTACGAGGATAGTGAGGCTCAAGTTAGAGTATGTAGGAAAGAGGGAAATTTTTTCCCAGTAAAAGTAGGCCTTAGACAAGGATGTGTGATGTCACCGTGGATGTTTAATATATTTATAGATGGGGTTGTAAGAGAAGTAAATGTGAGGGTCTTGGCAAGAGGCATGGAGTTAAAAGATAAAGAATCACACATAAAGTGGGAGTTGTCACAGTTGCTCTTTGCTGATGACACTGTGCTCTTGGGAGAATCTGAAGAGAAGTTGCAGAGATTGGTGGATGAATTTGGAAGGGTGTGCAAAAAGAAAAATTAAAAGTGAATACAGGAAAGAGTAAGGTTATGAGGATAACAAAAAGATTAAGTGATGAAAGATTGGATATCAGATTGGAGGGAGAGAGTATGGAGGAGGTGAATGTATTCAGATATTTGGGAGTGGACGTGTCAGCGGATGGGTCTATGAAAGATGAGGTGAATCATAGAATTGATGAGGGGAAAAGGGTGAGCGGTGCACTTAGGAGTCTGTGGAGACAAAGAACTTTGTCCTTGGAGGCAAAGAGGGAATGTATGAGAGTATAGTTTTACCAACGCTCTTATATGGGTGTGAAGCATGGGTGATGAAAGTTGCAGTGAGGAGAAGGCTGGAGGCAGTGGAGATGTCATGTCTGAGGGCAATGTGTGGTGTGAATATAATGCAGAGAATTCGTAGTTTGGAAGTTAGGAGGAGGTGCGGGATTACCAAAACTGTTGTCCAGAGGGCTGAGGAAGGCTTGTTGAGGTGGTTCGGACATGTAGAGAGAATGGAGTGAAACAGAGTGACTTCAAGAGTGTATCAGTCTGTAGTGGAAGGAAGGCGGGGTAGGGGTCGGCCTAGGAAAGGTTGGAGGGAGGGGGTAAAGGAGGTTTTGTGTGCGAGGGGCTTGGACTTCCAGCAGGCATGCGTGAGCGTGTTTGATAGGAGTGAATGGAGACAAATGGTTTTTAATACTTGACATGCTGTTGGAGTGTGAGCAAAGTAACATTTATGAAGGGGTTCAGGGAAACCGGCAGGCTGGACTTGAGTCCTGGAGATGTGAAGTACAGTGCCTGCACACTGAAGGAGGGGTGTTAATGTTGCAGTTTAAAAACTGTAGTGTAAAGCACCCTTCTGGCAAGACAGTGATGGAGTGTATGATGGTGAAAGTTTTTCTTTTTCGGGCCACCCTGCCTTGGTGGGAATCGGCCAGTGTGATAATAAAAATAAAAATACTACAATACTTTCATACATTCCCTTCTTTGCCTCCATAGATAACATTTTTTGACTCCACATATACCTCAACGCACCACTCACCTTTTTTCCTTCATCAATTCTATGATTAACCTCATCCTTCATAAATCCATCCGCCGACACGTCAACTCCCAAGTACGTATCTGAAAACATTCACTTCTTCCATACTCCTCCTCCCCAATTTGATATCCAATTTTTCTTTATCTAAATCATTTGATATCCTCATCACCTTACTCTTTTCTATGTTCACTTTCAACTTTCTACCTTTACACACACACTCCCAAACTCATCCGCTAACATTTGCAATTTTTCTTTAGAATCTCCCATAAGCACAGTATCATCAGCAAAAAGTAACTATGTCAATTCCCATTTTGTATTTAATTCCCCATAATTTAATCCCACCCCTCTCCCGAACACCCTAGCATTTACTTCTTTTACGATCCAATCTATAAATATATTAAACAACCATGGTGACATTACACATCCCTGTCTAAGACCTACTTTTACCGGGAAGTAGTCTCCCTCTCTTCTACACACCCAAACCTGAGCCTCACTATCCTCATAAAAACTCTTTACAGCATTTAGTAACTTACCACCTATTCCATATACTTGCAACTTCTGCCACATTGCTCCCCTATCCACTCTATCATATTTTTTTTTTTCAACAAGTCGGCCGTCTCCCACCAAGGCAGGGTGACCCAAAAAAGAAAGAAAATCCCCAAAAAGAAAATGCTTTCATCATCATTCAACACTTTCACCACACTCACACATTATCACTGTTTTTGCAGAGGTGCTCAGAATACAACAGTTCAGAAGCATATACGTATAAAAATACACAACATATCTATTATATGCCTTTTCTAAATCCATAAATGCAATAAAAACTTCCCTACCTTTATCTAAATACTGTTCACATATATGCTTCAATGTAAACACTTGATCTACACATCCCCTACCCACTCTGAAACCTCCTTGCTCATCCGCAATCCTACATTCTGTCTTACCTCTAATTCTTTCAATAATAACCCTACCGTACACTTTTCTTGGTATACTCAATAAACTTATTCCTCTATAATTTTTACAATCTCTTTTGTCCCCCTGCCATTTATATAAAGGGACTATACATGCTCTCCGCCAATCCCTAGGTACCTTCCCCTCTTTCATACATTTATTAAACAAAAGCACCAACCACTCCAACACTATATCCCCCCCTGCTTTTAACATTTCTATCATGATCCCATCAGTTCCAGCTGCTTTACCCCCTTTCATTCTACGTAATGCCTCACGTACCTCCACCGCACTTACATTCTGCTCTTCTTCACTCCTAAAAGATGGTATACCTCCCTGGCCAGTGCATGAACTTACCGCCTCCCTTTCTTCCTCAACATTTAAAAGTTCCTCAAAACATTCTCGCCATCTACCTAATACCTCCCTCTCCCCATCTACTAACTCCCCTACTCTGTTTTTAACTGACAAATCCATACTTTCCCTAGGCTTTCTTAACTTGTTTAACTCACTCCAAATTTGTTTCTTATTTTCATTAAAATTTCTTGACAGTGCCTCTCCCACTCTATCATCTGCTCTCCTTTTGCACTCTCTCACCACTCTCTTCACCTTTCTTTTACTCTCCAAATACTCTGCTCTTCTTATAACACTTTTGCTTTGTAAAAACCTCTCATTAGCTAACTTTTTCTCTTTTATCACACCCTTTACTTCATCATTCCACCAATCACTCCTCTTTCCTCCTGCCCCCACCCTCCTATAACCACAAACTTCTGCCCCCACATTCTAATACTGCATTTTTAAAACTCATCCAACCCTCTTCAACCCCCCCACTACTCAACTTTGCACTAGCCCACCTTTCTGCCAATAGTCGCTTATATCTCACCCGAACTTCCTCCTCCCTTAGTTTATACACTTTCACTTCCCTCCTACTTGTTGTTGCCACCTTCCTCTTGTCCCATCTACCTCTTACTCTAACTGTAGCTATAACTAAATAATGATCTGATATATCAGTTGCCCCTCTATAAACATGTACATCCTGGAGCCTACCCATTAACCTTTTATCCACCAATACATAATCTAACTACTATCATTACGTGCTACATCATACCTTGTATATTTATTTATCCTCTTTTTCATAAAATATGTATTACTTATTACCAAATCTCTTTCTACACATAGCTCAATTAATGGTCCCCATTTACATTTACCCCTGGCACCCCAAATTTACCTACTACTCCCTCCACAAGATTTTTACCCACTTTAGCTTTGAAATCCCCAACCACAAGTACTCTCACACTTGGTTCAAAACTCCCAATGCATTCACTCAACATTTCACAAAATCTCTCTCTCTCCTCTACACTTCTCTTTTCTCCAGGTGGATATACACTTACTATAACCCACATTTCACATCCAACCTTTATTTTACTCCACATAATCCTTGAATTAATACATTTATAGTCCCTCTTTTCCTGCCATATCTTATCCTTCAACATTATTGCTACTCTTTCTTTAGCTCTAACTCTATTTGAAACCCCTGACCTAATCTCATTTATTCCTCTCCAATGAAACTCTCCCACCCCCTTCAGGTTTGTTTCACTTAAACCGGCCTGCCGGTTTCCCTGAATCCCTTCATAAATGTTACTTTGCTCACACTCCAACAGCACGTCAAGTATTAAAAACCATGTCTCCATTCACTCCTATCAAACACGCTCACGCATGCCCGCTGGAAGTCCAAGCCCCTCGCACACAAAACCTCCTTTACCCCCTCCCTCCAACCCTTCCTAGGCCAACCCCTACCCTGCCTTCCTTCCACTACAGACTGATACACTCTTGAAGTCATTCTGTTTTGCTCCATTCTCTCTACATGTCCGAACCACCTCAACAACCCTTCCTCAGCCCTCTGGGCAACAGTTTTGGTAATCCCGCACCTCCTCCTAACTTCCAAACTACGAATTCTCTGCATTATATTCACACGACACATTGCCCTCAGACATGACATCTCCACTGCCTCCAGCCTTCTCCTCGCTGCAACATTCATCACCCATGCTTCACACCCATGTAAGAGCGTTGGTAAAACTATACTCTCATACATTCCCTTTTTGCCTCCAAGGACAAAGTTCTTTGTCTCCACAGACTCCTAAGTGCACCACTCACCCTTTTCCCCTCATCAATTCTATGATTCACCTCATCTTTCAAAGACCCATCCGCTGACACGTCCACTTCCAAATATCTGAATACATTCACCTCCTCCATACTCTCTCCCTCCAATCTGATATCCAATCTTTTATCACCTAATCTTTTTGTTATCCTCATGGCCTTACTCTTTCCTGTATTCACTTTTAATTTTCTTCTTTAGCATACCCTACCAAATTCATCCACCAACCTCTGCAACTTCTCTTCAGAATCTCCTAAGAGCACAGTGTCATCAGCAAAGAGCAACTGTGACAACTCCCAATTTGTGTGTGATTCTTTATCTTTTAACTCCATGCTTCTTGCCAAGACCCTCACATTTACTTCTCTTACAACCCCATCTATAAATATATTAAACAACCACGGTGACATCACACATCCTTGTCTAAGGCCTACTTTTACTGGGAAATAATCTCCCTCTTTCCTACATACTCTAACTTGAGCCTCACTATCCTCGTAAAAACTCTTCACTGCTTTCAGTAACCTACCTCCTACACCATACACCTGCAACATCTGCCACATTGCCCCCCTATCCACCCTGTCATGCCTTTTCCAACCCATAAATGCCACAAAAACCTCTTTAGCCTTATCTAAATACTGTTAAACTTACATGTTTCACTGTAAACACCTGGTCCACACCCCCCCTACCTTTCCTAAAGCCTCCTTGTTCATCTGCTTTTCCTATTCTCAGTCTTCTCTTAATTCTTTCAATAATAACTCTACCATACACTTTACCGGGTATACTCAACAGACGTATCCCCCTATAATTTTTGCACTCTCTTTTGTCCCCTTTGCCTTTATAAAAAAGGAAACTATGCATGCTCTCTCCCAAATCCCTAGGTACCTTACCCTTTTTCCCTACATTTATTAAATAATTGCACCAACCACTCCAAAACTATATCCCCAGCTGCTTTTTAAAATTTCTAATTTATCCCATCAATCCCCGGGTGCCTTTCCCCTTTTTATTTTACCTACTGCCTCACGAACTTCCCCACACTCACACTGGCTCTTCCTCACTCCTACAAGATGTTTATTCCTCCTTGCCCCATACACGAAATCACAGCTTCCCCATCTTCATCAACATTTAACAATTCCTCAAAATTTCCCTCCATCTTCCCAATACCTCTAACTCTCCATTTAATAACTCTCCTCTCCTATTTTTAACTGACAAATCCATTTGTTCTCTAGGGTTCCTTAACTTGTTAAACTCAACTCAAAACTTTTCTTATTTTCAACAAAATTTGTTGATAACATCTCACCCACTCTCTCATTTGCTCTCTCTTTACAATGCTTCACCACTCTGTTAACCTCTCTCTTTTTCTCCATATACTCTTCCCTCCTTGCATCAAATTCTACTTTGTAAAAACTTCTCATATGCTAACTTTTTTTTCCCTTACTAATCTCTTTACATCATCATTCCAGCATTTGCTCCTCTTCCCTCCCATCCACTTTTTCCTGTAACCACAAATTTGCTGAACACTCTAACACTACATTTTTAAACCTACCCCATACCTCTTCGACCCCATTGCCTATGCTCTCATTAGCCCATCTATCCTCTAAAGCTGTTTATATCTTACCCTAACTGCCTCCTATTTTAGTTTATAAACCTTCACCTCTCTCTCCCTGATGCTCTATTCTCCTTGTATCCCATCTACCTTTTATCTCAGTGTAGCTACAACTAAAAAGTGATCTGATATATCTGTGGCCCCTCTATAAACATGTACATCCTGAATCTACTCAACAGTCTTTTATTACCAATACATAATCCAACAAACTACTGTCATTTTGCCCTTTACATCATATCTTGTATACTTTTTATCCTCTTTTTCTTAAAATATGTATTACCTATAACTAAACCCCTTTCTATACAAAGTTCAATCAAAGGGCTCCCATTATCATTTACACCTGGCACCCCAAACTTACCTACCACACCCTCTCTAAAGTTTCTCCTACTTTAGCATTCAGGTCCCCTACCACAATTACTCTCTCACTTGGTTCAAAGGCTCCTATACATTAACATCTCCCAAAATCTCTCTCTCTCCTCTACATTCCTCTCTTCTCCAGGTGCATACACACTTATTATGACCCACTTTTTGCATCCAACCTTTACTTTAAATCCACATAATCCTTGAATTTACACATTCATATTCTCTTTTCTCCTTCCATAACTGATCCTTCAACATTACTGCTATACTTAATATATTAGTTGCATAAGACCTCTAGGAATGTATCCTCCTGTGAATTTGTGGGGATGATTACAGACACTTACCTGTAACACTGTAAGTCATACCCTCACTGCTTAAGGCACCTCTGATGTCTTCAGCATTCCAAGGGAGAACATCTTTCTCTAGGTCATTATCAAAAAGATTGCCACAAATTTCTTGCTTTAAAATGGTGTTCATCTTTATATCTTGCATAGAAGGCTGAAAATGGATTAATTAAAGTGCCTAGTTAAAGCTTGCCAAAAAAAATTAACAAAATTAAACAGAAAAACCTGTGTAGAATATTAACAGGATTAAAATACAAACACTATACTGCATGACAGCTTTCCTCACAGACAGCATCCTTGATGCAAATGTCATCTATACAATAATATAAACTACTAAATATCACCCTAAATGCAAACTTTTAAATAAGGCCTAAATATAGCTAAACAGCAACTTATGCAAAAGTGAAGCTTCCTTATTCACTAACTTTGGTTTTTCAAGGAAGGGGTCACATGCAAAAAGTTTTGTCCTTCACAGAATGCAGGAGCATCACTGCTGATGTGTCTCATTTTCTTTTAGCTTGAGGTATGACTCCTAAATTGGGAGCCATAAAATCTGCTCACTGGATTTACAGTGCCTAAATCTCTATTTTTTTTCAGAATATTAGAATATTCCCTTTTTTGATTAGCAATATTAAAAAGTATAGAGAAATATTTAAAGACATGAGATTTTTTCTGAAAATGGTCTGTCAGTTTCTCACACTCAAAGGTGTTTTCTCTAGTTTACCCTTCCTATGAAAATTGCATCAATATTTAAAGAGAGATATGGTGAAATAACAAACTGAACAACTGAACCAGCCATAAGATTCTTTCTGTACTTACAACTGTTTTTTTCTGGTTCACCTTTATTCTGAGTATGAAAGCAATTTGAGATACCATACTTTTAAAATAACCATCAACTCAAAAACTGTCAAATTTTATATGATTATTTCAAAACTAAAATGGTCTCAATCTCAATATGTATAATGTGCTAAAATATAATACTGTAACTAGTTATTCAACTACTTGTTAATTTAATTACTGCCAAACCACTACTACCTCTGTTTGATATATAAAAAACAGTGTTCAATTCGAACCAACTACGATATCTATGTCAAGTATTAAGTAGTCTGTAAAGCATTAGGTTTAGTCTGCCCGAAATGCCTCAGCATGATAGTGGCTTTCTTTGCACTTAGCAAATCAATATTGTAATTACACATTGTAAACTATGCAAGGAAATAAACTTCTTAATCCTTAATCATCATTCTTCTATGGGCTGGAATCATTTGGCTTGGCGCATGAACCCAACTAGATTTTTTCTTGAAAAATGTGCTCACTGTACAGTGGACCCACGCATAACGATCACCTCCAAATGCGACCAATTATGTAAGTGTATTTATGTAAGTGCGTTTGTACGTGTATGTTTGGGGGTCTGAAATTGACTAATCTACTTCACAATATTCCTTATGGGAAAAAATTCGGTCAGTACTGGCACCTGAACATACTACTGGAATGAAAAAAGTTCATTAACCGGGGGTCCACTGTATTTCCCACACACAATATTTTATTTTGGGGGGCTGTCTTTTTAAAGTCTATATCAACAAGATTACAGATTTAACCCTTTCAGGGTCCGTCCCGTAGATCTACGGCTTTACGTTCAGGGTCCAAACCGTAGATCTACGCCATGAGCTCAGCTCACTCTGATAAACTGTGAGTGGTACATTTGGGCCTAGATATGAGAGAATACATCTATGTGGTATGTGTGCACCACATAAAACAGATCCTGCAGCACACTGTGTATAATGAGAGAAAAAAAATGAAATCATGATTTTTCGATTAAAACAGCAACTTTGCAGTGTTTTTTCGTATGTTTTTTATAGATGTATTTGCGATTTCTTGGTCTCATTTGATAGAATGGAAGACATATTACAGAAATAGAGATGATTTGATTGGTTTTAGCACTGGAAATGGCTTGAAACTGAGCTCAAAGTAGCAGAAATGTTAAATTTTTGCCGATATTCAAGAGTAAACAAACGACCTCACACGTCTAATACACGCCAGCTGGTGGGTCTAATATACATTCACAATATGGTGATGATATTTATACAATTATTACAGTATTGCATAACAGTAAATCTTCTATTTTTGGTGTGAATAAAATTCATTATGTGAATAAAAAATCAAAATGGAATTTATTTGTAAAGCCTCAAAACATAACTAATGAACAGAGGAAATGTTAGTTTAGTGCCAGGAATGCCTACATTGTTCATTCTGGACCCTATTTTGAAATTGGAATATTTTGAACTTTGTGTTAAATTGGCCAAATTAACAATTTCCGATCACTTTATTTTGTAGTTCAAACAGCTGACTTGGTGATTTCTTGTGCTCAATCGATAGAATAGAAGTAATACTAGTGAAATAGCTAAGAATTTGGTTGATTGGAATAATGTAATTGGCCTAAAATGGGAGTCAAAGTCGGCAAAATCGCCGATTCGTAAATATCGCTGACACATCAAAATTCGCGAGAGCATAATTTCGTCAATTTTCCACCAAATTTCGTACTTTTTGTTTTATTACCTTCACAAAAAGATTCTCTACGATTTCATAAGAAAAAATAACAAATTTTTTTTTTGAAAATTCTTGGACACTGGTGCGTGACTCCAGATTTGGGCCTTGGACCCTGAAAGGGTTAAGAGAAATTTGCAGCATTTCTAAAACCTACACACCTAAAAGGGAGACAGTCCACTACATATCACTGGTTTATTTGCTGATATATGCAATATCCAATGCTCCAGCGCACCCTGCTTTAGTATTCAAGAGTGCTCTCATAGTTTTTTCTGTAATCAAGGGTTTCCAAGAACATGACCCTTTCAAAAAATGGAGACTTCACTGTACATTGCTCCAGGGGATAGAGATATTCTCCACGGGGAAGTGGAACAAAATTCTTCCTCTGTAAGCCATGCGTGTCGTAAGAGGCGACTAAAATGTTGGGAGTAAAGGGCTAGTAACCCCTTCTCCTGTATACATTACTAAAATTAAAAAGAGAAACTTTTGTTTTTCTTTTTGAGCCACCCTGCTTCAGTGGAATATGGCTGGTTTGTTGAAAGAAGGATAGAGAAATGAAATAAATTAAAAAATATACTTACTTTCTTCTCTATATGAGAAGAAGTAAGGGGAAAGGTCTTCCCATACAATGGAATCTGGGAGTCTTTCTTGTATACACAAGACACCCGAGACTGCTGATGACGAGCCAAGGAACCCGACTCTCGGAAACTGCGACCACAGTCTTGACAAGTGAATGGTCTCTCACCTATGTCAAGATAGAAAAAGTACAAAGCAAATATTAAATGTAATCAACTTGAATTTCTGTCTAAGAGCATTTTAAAGTCTCCTGCAGGCTAAACTAATAACCACCCAGGAATGATAAGTGCAACATACAGCAAAAAATAAACCAAGTAGAAATATGCATAAAAAAAAAAAAGCCAATCTGAATCACCCAGTAATATATCTACTTGGGAGATTTTATGATAGCTCAATCACTGTTAGCATTCAAACTAAAAATTCATCTGTGCATACATGCACCACTATGAAGATATTAGCCATCACACAGTATGTCACATTTGAAATTTTGAGCCAGCCAAAGAATTATTCAGAAAACTTATTCTTTCGCTTGTAAGTAGATTACCTGTGTGCCTCCTCACATGCCTAGTTAGTGAGCCTTTAGTTTTAAATGACTGGGAACATCCTTCATAGCTGCACTGGAAAGACCGCCCTTGACTGTGTACAATTCCAATGTGTGTCCGAAGTATTCTTTCCTGAAATACAACTTATTTACCATGTAGAAGAATTGAGACACTTATGCAACATATGGGAATCTGTACTGAAGAAATGTTTTGCCACACAGTGGCTTTGTCAGTCTTATACAAAGCAGGAAGATATAAGGAGAGGAGGAGTTTGAGGTAATCAGTCCCTCAGCCTGGAGTCGATGTGTTCAGTCCATCAATCTTGTAGAAAGATTGATGGACTGACCACATCGACTCCTGGCTGAGGGACTGATTATCTCAAACTCCTCCTCTCCTTATATCTTCCTGCTTTGTATAAGACTGATGAAGCCACTGTGTGGCAAAACGTTTCTTCAATAAAGATTCCCATATGCTGCGTAAGTGTCTCAATTCTTCTACTTGCCGGTTTTCAAAACCATTCATCGCATTTACCATGTGACAATAATCAGCACAATCATTTTGAAACATTAACTATTATGGTACTAGTACATCCTGGTAGTACCTCCTAGGATGGTTACAACTTAACTACTATGTAAATTGAGTTGACAACTCACACAGAATATCTAAAACTGTAACAGCTGTTAGTCATATTCTTCACCATTAACCAATGGGGTTGGGTAGGTTGCATCCACAATTTATATAAAATGGTAGTTGGCAAGATATTCTGCTGGATCATAAAAGAATGCAAGCTCCCCACCACCACTGGCCAATGTCTCAGGTGGAGATTTCTCAGAGTACAGGAGTAAAATATGTAGGAATTAAAGGAAGAAATAGTAATTTCAGTTTTGATACTAAAATATGTAATAAATATTTATTTACAAAGAAGCTAACCAATAGAAGAAAGTCACAAACTTACTGTTTTGAATATCTGACCACATAAGTGGCAGGCTGGCTTACTCCATGCTTTAACTGGGTATTGCAGATCAGTGACTAAATGATCCAGATGAGGTTTGGACTCTACAGCAATGATGTGTCTTATAGGTGCCTTGGAGTCCACACTTGTTTCTTTCTTGATTTGTACATCCTGTATTTCTGACTCACTAACTGATAACTCCTCTCTCATCATGCTGCCAACTGCATGCTGAAACAATGCTTATATTACTATTCATCATTGGAAAGTGCATGTAGTTAAGCAGAAAAAGTATAGAAAAAATAGTCCCAAGAGCATGACATGAAAATACATAGACAACAATTAGTCAACAAAGATTTAAACTGTTCTATAGTGGAGCAACACTTATCACCCAAGATGCACACAATATGAAAACTTTCCATAATGTAAAATTAAAAGATACTGAATATGGGCTGCAATATTCCATAATACACATTCATACATCTGGTATAGAGCAGAGGAAAGATTTAGTGCCAGATTCATTATTACACATGATGCACTATATATCTTTTGACATTACACAAAACTGAGAGTGACTGAGAGATGAGAAAGAGGATGGAAGAATGGGAAGGAAACATTAACATTTCCCACCAAGGCAGGGTGACTCAAAAGAAAGAAAAACCCAAAAAGAAAGAAAAAACTTTCATTATCACTCATACATAATCGCTGTCTTTGCAGAGGTGCTCAGATACGACAGTTTAGATGTCCCTCCAAACTGCCAATATCCCAAATCCCTCCTTTAAAGTACAGGCATTGTACTTCCCATTTCCAGGACTCAAGTCCGGCTAACCGGTTTCCCTGAATCCCTTCACAAAATATTACCTTGCTCACACTCAACAGCTCGTCTCCATTCACTATCTACCATGCTCACGCACATTTGCTGGAAGTCCAAGCCCCTTGCCCACAAAACCTCCTTTACCCCAAATACATTGGCATAATAGTCTTCATCTTGAATATTCCATCAATAAAATTGATATTTATACTGACCCTTATTAAAAAAAAACACAAAATATGTACCAAGAGGCATATATCTCTCAGCTGAAACACAGTGAGTTTACTTCAATTCCTTATTAAGAATTATAAGTAGTTTTGTTTGGTGGCATACATTACAGGTAAAGGATCAAAAACCCTCACACTGTTGATAGGCTTTTTACACCTAACAAGCCACCCATCCAGAATATGAAAGTAGATAACCTAGGATATTAACCCTTTGGGGGTTTCAGACGTACTAGTACGTCTTACGACCCAGGGTTTTTGACGTACTAGTATGCCTAAATTCTAGCGCCGTCAAATCTAGTGAGAGAAAGCTGGTAGGCCTACATATGTAAGAATGGGTATATGTGGTCAGTGTGCACAGTATAAAAAAGAATCCTGCAGCACACAGTGCGTAATGAGAAAAAAAAAACTTTGACCGTGTTTTTGGATTAAAACAGCGAATTTGCACAATATTTTCGTATGGTATTTATTGTTGTATTCTAGTTTTCTTGGTCTCATTTTATAGAATGGAAGACATATTACAGAAATTGAGATGATGTTGACTGGTTTTACAATGAAAAGTACCTTGAAATTGAGCTCAAAGTAGCAGAAATGTTCGATTTTTACCGAAGTTCAAAAGTAAACAAATCATGCCAAGCGTCCAATACACATCAACTGGTGAGTCTAATATTCTTTCACAAGTGCGCTGATATTATTTATACCATTTCTACACTAATCCAGTAGTCTGCATAACAGTAAATCTTGTTTTTTTTGTAAGAATAATAATTCAAAGTGGAAAGCCAAAGAAATATAAGACGGGCCTGGGGATGTGACTAACAAACAGAGAACTTGTTATTTTAGTGCCAGGAATGTCTTTCTTGTTTATTCTGGACCCTATTCGGAAATTGGCATCTTTTGAAATTTGTGTGAAATTGGCAGAATTGCTAAATTCTGACCACTTTATTGGATAGTTGAAATAGGTAAATGGGTGGTTTCCTGTACTCATTCGATAATAAAATTGGAGTTCCAGCAAAATAGTTATGATTTTTGTTGACTAGTACACTGGAATTGGCAGAAAATAGGGCTCAAAGTGGGCAAAATCGCTGATGCGTAAACATTGTCGAGACCGCTAACTTTGCGAGAGCATAATTCCGTAAGTTTCCATCAAATCTCATACTTTTTGTGTCATTATGATTGGAAAAAGATTCTCTATCTTTTCATAAGAAAATATATATATATATATATATATATATATATATATATATATATATATATATATTTTTTTTTTGAAATTTGGCTGACCCTAAGAACATGTTTCTGAGAGGACCTGTCGACCCCCAAAGGGTTATGTAAAACAGGATAAACACACCTGAAGCTTAAAATGGTTGAAGATGGCTGCTTGTCTAGAGAAGGTGAGACCACAAAGCTGGCACTTCCATCTTGTCTCACTGCCAGTCTCAATCTGTGTTGCTTGCACTGCTAACTTCACATCTGCTTCTGTTAGCTCACATGTTTCCTACAGAGAACAAAACATTCAGTGACATTATATCATAAAAACAAATAAAGAGTGCTGTAAAGAGAAATATTTGGAAGTGTAGTTAGATGAGTATGGCCATTCTCCGATTTACTCCTTCCATCCTTCACTAAGGTGAGTACAACTATGCTCAAACTCACTTCTCCCATCCTTCACCTTAGGTGAGTATTACCCCAACTAGTTTAGTGAGCACAAGTGATGAGACATCTCTCCCTGCATGTACAGTACAGTGTGCACTGATGAGCCGAACTAATACTCCCTCTCTTTGCAAATAAACATTGAAGAAATTATCAAAAATGCAGGAATCCACTAATAGTTTATAAATTTATTTACTTATTGATCAAGTCATTTGCACAAACACTTTCTTATCATGATCATTATTACTTTCCCTAAACTTATTTACCTTGTACATAACAGGGACGAGATCATTAACATGTTTAATGTCCACTTCCTCTATTTCTGCTCTCTTCTTGGAAAATCTGAAACATGATAACAGTAACAGGTTAGAAGCTTTTCTTTCAAAGCCACAAGAGACACACAAGACACAAGCTATAGGCCTATGGTGGTCTTCCTTCCAAATAACAGTAATAGTATACCAGGAAAAGAGTAAGGTAGTGTTATAATTGAAAGAATTAGAGGTAAGACAGAATGTAGGATTGCAGATGAGCAAGGAGGCTTCAGAGTGGGTAGGGGATGTGTAGATCAAGTGTTTACATTGAAGCATATATGTGAACAGTATTTAGATAAAGGTAGGGAAGTTTTTATTGCATTTATGAATTTAGAAAAGGCATATGATAGAGTGGATAGGGGAGCAATGTGGCAGATGTTGAAAGTATATGGAATAGGTGGCAAGTTACTAAATGCTGTAAAGAGTTTTTATGAGGATAGTGAGGCTCAGGTTAGGGTGTGTAGAAGAGAGGGAGACTACTTCCCGGTAAAAGTAGGTCTTAGACAGGGATGTGTAATGTCCCCCATGGTTGTTTAATATATTTATAGATGGGGTTGTAAAAGAAGTAAATGCTAGGGTGTTCGGGAGAGGGGTTGGATTAAATTATGGGGAAACAAATTCAAATTGGGAATTAACACAGTTACTTTTTGCTGATGATACTGTGCTTATGGGAGATTCTAAAGAAAAATTGCAAGGTTAGTGGATGAGTTTGGGAATGTGTGTAAAGGTAGAAAGTTGAAAGTGAACATAGAAAAGAGTAAGGTGATGAGGGTAAACAAATGATTTAGATAAAGAAAAATTGGATATCAAATTGGGGAGGAGGAGTATGGAAGAAGTGAATGTTTTCAGATACTTGGGAGTCGACGTGTCGGCGGATGGATTTATGAAGGATGAGGTTAATCATAGAATTGATGAGGGAAAAAAGGTGAGTGGTGCAATTGAGGTACATGTGGAGTCAAAAAACGTTATCTATGGAGGCAAAGA